TCCTACAATCACTGCCTTGCCATCTTGTCCCTTTGTGCACATTTCCACTCATTTTGTCAACACTCTGCTCATCCACCCATCCATGCTCCACCACAATGCATTCTCCACACATCAACATTCTCATCTCTCACTTCCATTTCATCGTCATTGCTTATCTTAGCAGCAACTCACGGCCTTTACTAACCACTCCATGAGTAGCATCGCCCTCCACTACTGCACCTTTGCTGTCGTGCAGTCGAATGTGTGCCTCCCCTTCATCAGCGCCACCAACAACGACGACACCGACACCGCCTCCTGGCATCGCACCTCGACACCAATACCAGGTGGAAAAGCAACTACATTTATTCATTTCCTGGCAATTGATTCAATGATTCGGTCAGCCATGCAATTGCGATACTTCACCGCAATCGCACTTCTCTTGTCTATTCCTCCATGCCACTTCCTGCTTCCTCTGGTGTCGTCCCGCTGTGTCTATCTGCGTTCCATCCAACTAGTAGAGAGGTCAAGTAGGTAGTACATGTTCACTTATTTGATGTCTTCACGCAGGTGGCCGAGACTGCTCCCATCGTCCTTTCCCAACTGACTTGCATTTATTGTTTTTTTTTAGTTGTCATGACTATAGTCGTAGCACTAGATCTTGCGGTTGTGATTGCTGCATCGAAAGTTTCAGTTGCTCACTTACTGCGTGCGTTCCGAGGCTAGCGCTGTGACTGTCGGTTCTCGTGGTTTACTGCGCAGAAGGGTATTTTCACTGGGCCGATCATATGGTAAGCATAATATTAAAGTGTTGATGCTCAAATGACTTTAGACAAAAGAGCGTTCAGTCAGGTGTAATGTAGATGTGCTCGCCTCGCTGTGTGGTCTCCATTGATAAGCTTCACACTGAAATACGTCCATTTTCCCTACTCCTAGCTCACCGATTGGCAATTCAACTGGTGCAGATGAACCCATACTTCCACAAAACAGTATTTTGCTTTGCAGGATACACAACATCTTTTTGGAAGCACTGATGACAATGCTGGCCTTTTGTATTTCTAAATCATGAGAAAATATTCTTAATGCGTAGAACTACTGATGACGAGCCAGCAGTAGGCCTTTACAGCAACGATGTTGTCATATACGACAATGCACAAAGATTTCTTGCAATCTAAGAATCCTTGACTGTGTCCTAACTATCACGTTGTCATTAGAGTCTATGCGTGATAAATACTTATTTTCACTCGTTTTAATCGCGCCTGCCACTAAATTTTATAAATTTTTAAAATTTGCCTTTTGCCATCAATACCTCCTGCTACTCCAAATGAACGCCACAATCGTCTAGTCAAAAAAATACTTGTTCACAAGACTGTTGAACCTCTCTTAATGAGAGTATGAAAAGATTCGCATTAACCACTTACGACTGAGGACAATGGTAAGCCTAATTCCCACCCACACCTGTGGTTTGGAAATGCGAAATTTAAGCGGCGTAATATTTACCACCAAATTTGCCTTCAATATTGCATATATATCATCAAAACTGATCCAGGCCTAATAATCCACAACCACAACTTCCTTTTCACCACTACCTATGAACACAAACTGGGAACAACCAGGTCCGAATTAGTAAAGGCGACTTTCGTAATTCCAATATCATGCCACACAGGGGGTGTTACTTGGAATTGATAGCCACTTTTCATTTTACCAGAGACAGTCAATCAAATCGAGTATATAAGTAACAGGCAAGTCAAATTCAAGAACGCCCAAGATAACTATCTCCCACTTCTGCTCCGGTGGGTTCCCTTGACGCAGCAGCGTGCATGTAGTGAATGCCTGCGGTGGGGTCTGCTCAACAACGCCATCGAAGTTGTCCTTGTGGTCAGCCTGTTGCGATTGCTGTGCTGCCTACTGCGGTGGATGCGGTTGTGGCAGTCCTTGCGACATCACAGACTGGGGTTAAATCTAAGAGGCATACAGAATCCGATTTGAGATTATATTTGTACCATTCAGAACTCACCGATCGGATTCATAAATTGCCACCGAGCTATCTATGAGAAGAGAAGGACTTGTAGTACCGAGGCGGCATTCTTAGGCACGAACTCTATCAAATGCTGTGGTATTTTTCAGGTCTATGCTCTCGATTATGCCTTAATGATCTGCTCTCATGGTATTTTGATGTCAATCTCTGTTATTTTAGCTGTAAAAATTTAATTAAATTGTTAAATTACTAAATAGCTGTTTTAAAATTTAAGTAGCAGAGCTACCTATGCTGCCCCTCATTACGCTACGCCCCTATTTGTACTCCATTTTTGCTTGGTAACAACAAAGTGGACAGGCTACTGTCAGAGGCCTAGGTCGCAGTCTTTTGTTACTTATTAGCATTTGCCTCAAAAGAAACTGTAGATTTCAGTCATATTTGACTGCCAGATGCATTGACTGACTTTACCCATGTCGAATCAACCTCTCGTTACTTTTGCCGCCATGCCATGGAAATGAGAACCTGTGCTCCATCTTCCACGCACATGCCCGGCCGAGTTGATGAGAGTGCTGCTGATTATAGTAAAATTTGCGGCGTCATCTGCTAACTGCCTGCAATCTTAACTGCATTTCTGCTGTTTACCTGCACCACGGTCAAAATTGCCCTGCAAATTCGTAGCTACAAATAGTAGATAAACTATCATTTTGCACGAACTCTCTGCAACACTTTTTGCATAAATGCGCCTCCTTAGGCGACCTGTAGGCCATCCTCTTGACTGAGAATTTGTGAGTGATCTCCGTGGAAGAGGAGATAAACATGAATTCTTCCTCAAAACGTTAGTAACTTTATGAGAACAACATTATGAAATGCAAGATGTTTTGCTCCAGCCAGTCTCCTTCATAGGCGACTGTAAATCCACCGGTGGTAGAGCAAAACGATGAAAATGCTACGCTTTCTTCTCTTTTCTCTTCTCTTTATCCTGAGCTAACGCATTGACAATTCGTGGTGTGTCAAAATCCACTCTGTGGTCAATTCTGTAGATATTTGCCTGTAAATTTGTTAAAAACCTATAACTCACTTATGAAAAATTTCACTTCTCGATTAAGTAATAACAATGTTCGAGTAGACGAAGGACTCAATTAAGTGGAGAAATGTGCAAAATCTCTCCACTGAAATAGAGAAATAGGAAGGGTCTGACGATGGGAGGTGCGATCGGACGAGTTGGACGTCGGTACGAATACAAGCAAAGACTGTTTTGGGCCAATATTCTGGGGTAGCATATGAGGTTCATAGGTTTTTAAGTTGATGAGGTATTATAAAGTTTATAAAAATTTATAAGACCTTCTGTTCTCTTACCATAAATGATCATTTACGCTTGCCACCTGACCGTATATACGAGTAATAAGGAGATAACCATTTGGCAGATTTTTATAAATTCTCTACATCACCCACTTTTTACCGAAGAGTAATGAAGAAGGACAAACAGGAATAAAATGAGGGCAAAATAACAATCTTTTCCTTAATCTGTGACTCCATGTTTTTCTTTTTGAAGGTTATCGACTAGTCCATCTCTTTGCAAACCACCTTGAAGGTGGCATGTTTACAAAGAAGTTGTACCACATTAATTTTCCGGTTTACCTCAAAATGTTTATAGAAAGCATAGTTTACTAAATGGTTTAACTTATACACGTCAGGCCCATCCAACACCCCATTAATCATGTCTCGATGGTGGTTTTGGTGGATACCCGAATAGGAGTCATTTATGCATCACAAACTTTGTTTGCCAAGAAAGAACTACAGTCATTTGACACTGCAGTAAATACTCTCAAAAAGTCACTTTTATTAGGACGCGATGGAGTTGGAGTGAGATGGGATGTAACTTTCAGAATAATGACAGAGCGGTGTAAGAATGGTCAACAGGGCAACAGTTAAAATACACACACAAATTATGGCTACATTTGACCTCTTCCTTCCCAATCAACTGACACTGTTTCCAAAATTGCCTGCTGCCATTTGGGGTTGTTCTAAACAAACGTGGATCTAGCCCTCATTTGAATAAATTTTGACAACGACGGTTTGTCGCAAATTTTTTTTTGGGATTTAGATGACCAGTCGATTGGTGCATACCCCATCAAAGCGATTTATTTTGTATAGAGTTTGGAATTGTGTCAAATGTGGAATAAGTACTTTCGCAGTGCGCTGCCATTAAAGAGTGCAGGATTACTATCACAGAAATAGAATGCGCAACGGCTTCAGGACCTGATTCTCAGAAATGACAGAAAGGTAACTAGCATGATAGCATGAAAGTTCGGAGAAGGTATCTGATCTGTCTGTACTCTGAATCTTGACAAACATGACACTAGCTTTCTACAAGCTTGGCTTGTCCTCTCAAGTAGAAAAGTGTCAAGCCCAAACATCTTGAACTATGTCGCAAATGTGTCGATTTTGAGAAAGTGGAGCGCATTTTACTGTATATCGAAAGGACTTAAACCTACAAATGTACGCAGAATTATCCGTGCATTTTGAGATAGACTCATCATTTGTAGTATTTGGAAAGTAAAAAAAATAATTCGAGAGCACTTTACCCTTGATCACTTTTGTCCAAAAGGCTCATTGCACAGTGTCAATTCCCAGCTAACTTCCTTCCTCCGAACATACCCATGGAAACGGTCTTTTAGGTAATGCCTTAACTGTCCACACATGATCATCTAATTCAGCATACCCCCAGGTTTTATTATGGGATATTAGTAAAAAAGAGGAAAGCAAAATACTGTTTCGAGGTCTATCAAGTTTACCTCATACTTTCCATTATTGATGGAACATCACCTGTTGCCTCAACGTCCGCTTGTATGGTCCACATACAGTCGAGCGTTCTGCCTTTCTGGAAAAGAATTTTCCCACACATATGTGGCTCAAAATAGAGCAAAAAATTGCAACAAGCGATGACAGGGCAGGTAGCTCCAAATCTCTACTTCTCTTCAATCCGACAGTTAGGGCCAAAAGGCGCTCTATCAAATGAGTCAAAATGGAGCCTCTGGATTGAGGTCAAATCCTGACCTCGAGACACATATTTAGAAAGATGCTACTGGTTGCATTCATCAAAATTGTGCTAGAAAATCTAATGATATCTCTTTCTGATTGTCCTCAAAAGTGTTTTACCCACATTTGGCACTGCAACACTCAAATGTCAACCGCCCTGCTTGACCAATTCAAAGTTTGGATTCCCTTCCCACCTCGTCAGGCGTACTTTAAAATGCATAGTCTTAAATAGACCTTCTGGGTTACGAAAGGAGGATGGGGAATCAGGGTTGGCAATGGGACGTTTTATTACCATTACCAACATCATTTAATTCTATTTGAGGTAAAGTGTTTCGTAATGGGGGCAAACTATCCACCCTTCGAACTTAACCGTAGGCGATTCATCATTCTAGAGTCATAATTCAACAGCGAAACTAATTCGTATTATTTGTTCCCACTTATAAAATCAGATACGAATTGTTTACTAATGTTCGAATGCGGTTAATCAGTGATTTTTCTGTCTAATTTTGTATCAGCGTAGATTACACCTGCATCACCTTGCTTTCACATTTGCTTTACTATCATTTACAAGTACATTTAGTGTTCCGAAAAACATTTGTGTGTTTTACGAAGCAAAAAACACTATGTTGATTTATGAGGTCGTGCACATCATTTAAACGACTTAATATGATCTGGGAGTGCGGGAAATAGCCATAATTCCGTGTAGAACAAATCATTTTACCTCCTTGATTCTCCTTTTCAGTTATTGCAAATGGGTAGGTATTTTGCCCGATTAAAAGAATTCGTTCAATGAAACAACAGTTATTAAACACGTATTTCTCACCTTGCGCAACCTACCTTTCTGAATTGCTCGTTGGTTTGCTTTTGAGGGATCCCCTTGCACCTGCCTAAACGAAGACGGGTGTCTAAGAATTACTACAGCCAGATTTCAACGTGGTTAGATGATAACAAATAATCAGTGTGGGAAATGCACCATGATATTGCGACGTCATTTCTAGGTACACGTCACCTTACTTCAACCGAGTGATTAGCCTCAGGATTGTGTTTTTTATCATTGCTGTTGTGCATTCTACCCCCTGTTGTTTGGCCAAGGGGAACAGGAAATGACTACACAAAAATCGTGTAGAATGCCAAAGCTCATATTGTAGTCTTTCGTATTTTCACTCGTAGAAATCTAGGTTTTAGGTCATTGTCCACACAGTGGTAAAGTATATTACGTTGCTCGTTTAACGCTTGATTTTAGTTAAGGGCTACTTTGAAACCATGCTATTAGCCCCAAGTTCTATTGTATGTTGGAACGCTACAGAAACACAGATATACGTGTAGGGAGAGCCAGTCTGGAATTTAAGAGAAAGATATTTGCTACTCCATAGTATTTACAAAGTACCTTCTATTTCTCTATTGTCGATCAGATTTTGCATACATCAGCGATTTGAGTATGCTAGTCAAGTTCTAATGGATTCCTCCTGTGGCTTAATGATCTGCAAACCCAGAAGTCAAATTAAGAGCTGTGTGAACCTCTCCATCATCTTGTTACTCCCTATCCACTCAAATAGCAGTAATTCGTTGGCTTCGCGAGATCATCGCAGCCAAATTCTGCTCCATAAGACTAATTTGGCCTCACACCAACCCATGGTCATAACTGCCTCCCCAAGTACAAATGCTCTACACGTCCATCTCCTAGCCCGATAATAACATGCCAGGAACGCCTAGTTGGAAGTCAGTAACAAGCGATATTGCATAACTAGCCTGAATTTTTGTGGAGATTGAAAAGTTTATGTAGCTAAAAATCACGCAAAATAAATATTAAATTACTGTTTATCCCCCTAGTCCTTTGAACGCCTTCCCTAAACACTATGTGGTCCGATTTGGTCAATAACGCGTCAGCTGCATGAAGATCTGTGTGGAGATTGAAGAATTAGTTAGGTCATGGTTTTCTTTGCGAGACACAAGATGCAACCCCACGACAATAGGGGGGCGATTTATGTGGATGACCCTAGTAGAGAATCGCGTGAGCACATCACCTTTGCGAGCTTTCATCTCGTTGGTAGAGCTCCCCCATTGTCAAGTATTGACCTCCGACATGCAGGGAGTTATACGATGACAGAAGGTAGGCGGGTGGTATTTGAGGCGGCAGCTAAGACCGCTGGTTAGTGTGGGATCGAGTTAATTAGGTGGAGAGGAAGCAAACTGAACGAATGAGGCACCGACAATCGGATGGGTTGAGAGTGAATGAAAACATTCCACGCAATTTAATAGCTTTTGACTACGCTTTTAAACACCACGCTGTCATTAAATTCTTCTTGTTTGGAGAATACTCCTCCCGTCGCATACATACGCCGCTGCTCTAATTATTCATCAGCATCATGTTGGCAAAAATGGACTTGCCCACGAGACAGCAGAACATCCCGCGCTGAAATACCAGAACAATTTATATTTAATACCTAAGATTGAGGCCAAGTGTTTGCCTAATTGCAACTCACGAAACCACCGAACCGACACTTTTTTGAAATGCTCAATCTCATGGCATAATATTCACAGACCATGTTTCTAAGTCTACATCTGTAACACTGAAACTGGGCAAGCTCTTGCAATCCATAACCGCCTATGACTACTGAGAATAACCAAGACAGACTTAGGAAAGCCCATTTCTGTACATCCGATCGCATGACCACGATATCACACAGTAAGTGCCACACCTAGATTCACCAGACACCTTTCATTATGCCAGAGATATTTATTTAATCCAGGTATAAAAATAGCAAGAATGACATCACAATACGGCCGACAAAAAATACGATCTACCATTAGTAACATAAATGATATCTTTTCCACTACAACGCCGATGGGTCCTCCTGACGCGGCGGAGTGCCAGTGGTGAATGCCGGCAGCGGCGTCGGTTCCACGACACCCTCCAAATTGCCCTCATAGTTAGTCAGCTGCGATTCCTGCACCACCTGCTGTCGTGAGTATGACAGTAACATTCCCTGTGGCATCACTGCTTGTTGGGGAAAATCTACAGGACATGCGTAATGAGATTCGAGGTAATAGCAAAATCATTCAAAACTCACAACTCGGATTCGCGAAGTGCCATCCAGCTATCCGAGGACCGCAATAAGCGTACGGTATCGAAGCTACATTCCAAGAGACAACCGGTATCGGTTGCTGTGGCATAAACTGCACCGATTGCTGCGGGACTGTTTGCTGAGGTACGACGACCTGCGATCCCAATAATGATGGACGCAAAAAACCCTGCTTCAGTGACGGAGGTGGAGGGTGTTGATACATTAATGGTTGACTGGGCGGGTAGGAGGTGTAGAGATCAGGATGTGGAGCAAGTCTCCCTGCTTCACCACACGGCATGCGTACAGAGCCACCACCAGCACCAGGCCGAAAACCGCCCTGACGAGACAGGTGATTTGAGCGGCCCCTACCGAAACCAGAACCACCGCGGCCTGGAAGATGGTAACAAAGGTAATTTTTGGCTAATACATTTGACTGTGAATGACTTTTCGGTCTTCTGCCGTTCAGCCACCGCCTATGCCTGTCTGCGTGTCAACGGCAAAGTACTTTGACTGTTGAATTTTAAACTAAAACTTCACGGACAAGAGAGGTCTGCTCTTATTGCCGGGGAGACTGTAAGCTCAAATCGCTTGTTCTGAGTACTGGCCAGTAAGATCGTGAGAACTTAGTAAAACGCTTACATCTGCCAGAAAATGAGAACATGACATCCTATCTCTTGCTGCCTTTGAGCAATTTTTCTTCTACGAAAGGCAATTGTCATATGGAGTATGCTTACTGCAGAAAGTCATCTAATCTTTGATGACAGAACTGGAATGAATACATAACGGATTTCATCCAACGGAAGACGTGGTGCTATAGAGACAGGTTAAAATTTACGAAATGCAAGATTGTTTATGAAATAGAGGGTATTCCCGACACAAAGTAAGTTCAATGCAAATATTTATGCCTGTGAAAACACAAATAACCAAGTAAAGCAACAGATGGTGATCAAAGCGAGTTTTTAAGACTGTCGGAAATCAAATACGATTATAGTGATCTACTGTTACGCAGCTGGTCTCCTCACCTCTTCGTGCGTCAAATGATAGGCTTTCGCCTAGGAAAACTTAAAAGCTAAAACTTACGATTCAGATAACAAATCCTACCTTGCCTGTTACCACCGACTGGCCGCTTGCCCTCAAGCTTTCGCCTATACGCATACTCCTTCTCATCGTCGGAGAAATCCTGCTGCTGCAAGAGAAGGAATGTAATAATCAGAAGTTAGTTAAGGGAATGAATAGCTGGGAAAAAAAATACGAACATCCGGAGAGAGCTCCTGATCCTTCAGACCAGAAGCGTCGGATCCGCGAAGCTTCGATAGCTCAGAGCATAGAATCTTGATGCTAAGAGCTGGGTCGTCCAAGACGTAAAAGACCTCGTCTCCCACATTGACTGTCACATTCAACTTGGGGAGCTCTTGTGGAGGCTGTGCCGAAACACCTTTCACTCCCTCAGTGGTAGATAAAGCGGTAGCACTAGATCTCGCGGTTGCGCTTGCGGCAGTGGAGGCTGCAGTTGCCCGTTCACTGCGTGCCTTCGGAGGCTTGCTTGGTGGCTGTCGGTTCTCGTGGATCACCACGTAGAATGGTGATCTCACCGGACCAATCGTATCATATACCTTAAATTAGATTTTTGGTCATTAAGTGATTCCAGGAGAAATCTCGATCAGTCACATGTAATCTGGCTGTACTCACCTCGCCAAGTGGTTTGCGGTTTTGGAGAAAGAGAGCGGAGCCCTTATCCAAGGGAGGCAAGTTTGGCAGTGATTCAATGATGACTGCAGGGAAACTTATAAGATGGAGGATATACACTCACCACAGCCTTTGATAATGCTGGAAACTTTTCCTAGAACCCCTAATTTAACGTGCTCTAGCTAGGAAATCCAATAACTAAAAGTGGGAACATTACCGGTACGCTGGGTAACCGAGGCACATACTTGGGATCAATTTCCAGAGGTAGATCGAAAGCCTTCTGCCAGAGATAAACGGGACACGATATAAAATTACAAAAAAAGTTATGCATACCGGACTATGGATAGGCGGTCCCGCAACAGGCTGCCGGGTACTTTCTTTGTCGCTGCTACCACCGGACGATTCCGAATCGGCATCGCCTTCTGAAAACTCACTTGGGTTACGATAACTTTGCTGAAGGAAAGGGATAAAGAAAATGTTCTATCAAGATTGCGGATGAAATATATTGAGAACCAAGGCCAGATTTGAGATAGTGAAATGCCTAGGACAATATTAATTAAGGCGCCAAATAACAAGCTAGTTTAAACGCAACGACCTAAGCGTACCGTAGACAATAATAAGTAGCAATTTGGCTAATTCTGACAGAGTTACAGACAAAGTGAGTGTAAAGTTATAGGCGATCATGGAATCCTCCTAAGCAGTGTTCAACAGTCGATTGGATGTTATTTTTCAATCAGGTTCAAATCAGAAACAACTCGCGCATTAGTTGATGTCAGTGGCTGCTGATGGCCACTAGTAGGTTCGTCTAACTCACATCCATCGAAACCAGTTGGAATGAACTGGCGTCCGATCCGTCACTGGCAAGTACGCTCAATATATCCGGAATCGAGATATCGTTTACAGTATCGAATTCGGCCGAAGCCAATTCCGATAACGACAGCGAGACTTCGACTAAGGATTCCGGGAGTACCTTGTCCTCTTGTGCTTCCTAAATAAGAAAGAAATGCAACTAGAGACGCCCCCAGTAGTCAACAGAAGATTGCCCAGTAACAGGCTGGTACATAGCAAATCAAGAAACAACTTGATACAGAAAGGGACAGCAAATGAACCCTTACATCCTGGATATCAAACCACCTATTCAGCAGTTCAAATCCAACGACACTTACACAAATCAATAATAAAAATTGCCACTAGAATAAACGGACAAACATCGAACAATCAACTGGAAACAGGTGAATGAATGCACACCCAAGGCAGCCAAAAAACACAGAAGTAGGCCCGATACTTCAATCGACTCAAAAGCCACAACTAATACACACACAAATATAAAACGCGGCTGATGAGTATGAACAGGCACTGGGGAGCATGGACTAAAATAAATTAAGGAACTTGATAAAACCGAAACAATGCAGCTGCTGAGTTTATAACAGGAATGAGAGCAGAATTGCCAAGGTTAAGCCAGCCGGCCGAGCCAATGCTACACCACGCGCCGAAAAAATAAACTGTCCGCCACACAGATGCACAACTAAAATAAATTATCAGGATCGCTAAAAAACCCTAAATACTAAAACCGTTCAACAAAAAAATCAACAAATTTATTTCACAAAAAATTTTATTAAAGTTTTGTTATTTAGAGCGCCTATTTTATTAGGATTCTTAGTTCTTTATACTTTCACATTCAGGTACGGTTAAGAAGCAGCTACAAAGCATTTAAGACAAAAGCTTAAACCTAAATTTCAAAATATTTTTGGCGCTCTAAACAAATACATAAATAAAGACCCAGCTTTTTCCCTATCATTTCCACCATCTGACCCGCCCTTAAGGTGCACCAACGATGTTCCCGTCTCAGGTCTCAAACTCCTCAGTTGAGAAAATACGAAAGAGGCAGATATCCAATACGGCGTAAAGTTAGAAGATCTTCTAAGCATCGAGTCCTTATCTAGATCTGTTCTAGCAGTCTCCGTAAAATTCCGGTTTCTATCCAGCCTCGGAATAGATGCAGACCAACTACGAACAGAAACCAAGACTCTCTTTGGTAACGAAGCTCTTCTGTAGCCTCCCGAGACTTTTCTAAAGATGAAAGAAGGCACAATACTCTGACAGAATATATATTCAGCACGGAGAAGGTGTCTGGGCTGCTGGCATGGCCCGAAGACCAGCCCACCCGGCGAGGTACAAGAAGGCTGCTTCAAAGTACGAAAGTGGCGCCTCTTTGGTACTTAGGGATAAACCACCCTTGTATTACACTTACACCTCCGTACTTATACTTTCCTTCGGCGGCTTTGCCTATGGACCAGGCCATTAGCCTCCCAGCCACTAGGCGCGTTGGAATTTGATTTTCAGTCTCAATTTATGACGTTTTTTTGCATAAGTTAAAGATATGGATCTTGGAAAAATTTTCCCAAAGTGCTTTTACTCATTTTATTATTTATGCAAAATAAAGAAATATGATTCAATAGCGTTTTAAAAACTAACCCCTTCACTCAGGTCTTCTTTAATTTACACGGAATTTTAGCCAAGTCCTTTACTTTTATTGCTTTTCAGAGAGGAACCTCTAAATCATTTAAAGTGTTATGCACATTTAAGTAGTGACCCTGTATAAGTTTGATTCATCGGCAATATTTAACCTTGATCGTGGTTGGTTGTTCTCAAGACCATTCGCAATGATTTCATCGGCTCTTGTCTATTCAGCCAGCTCTGACTGATGCGATTTGACCTGACGTTTACAGTGAAGTTGTGAAACCTGCCCAATGGATCGAAGCTTTATGTTTCATCTACGTCAGCACCTCGTACGTAACGACCCGAAAACCAAAACTGAGAAGGATCAGTGTCGTACTGAGGCACTGGTGAAGAAGGCCTACTGTGAAAAACTCGAGAAGTGGGGCGAAACGACTATGCGTCTTTTTAAAATGGAGCACTTAAATTATCTTACCAGGCGTCTAGTTGATCTCCCAGAAAGCATTGAACACCTCGACGCTAGTCAGCCTTGGCTTGCCTATTGGATGGTTCATTCCTTGCGCCTCCTCTGCTACCAACTCTCTGACAAAGTAAAAACAGGAGTAGTCAATCTAATGAGGAGCTGTCAACACGGGGGAGGTGGATTTGCAGGTGGGCCCTACCAGTTGGCGCATTTGGCCCCAACCTACGGTGCGGTGAATTGCCTGGCTTCGCTACTCTCGGCCGATGCTTTGGATGTTATCGACCGCCAAGCCTTGGGTGACTGGTTAATTTCACTTCGGCAGCCCGATGGTTCTTTTGTAATGCATCACGGTGGAGAGGTAGACGTTCGAGGGGCCTATTGTGCCGTAGCAACGGCCTCCATCACTGGAGTGCTTAAATCTCGGCCAGAAATTTTCCAGGGAACGGCGGAGTGGATCGCGCGATGTCAGGTTTGTTAAAGTCAATTATCTTTGTAACTATTGGACGTCGCTCTCTTTTTTGAAGCATTTGGACTGACCTAGTCTCTAACCGGCTTGTCGTTGGAACTCAGGCCTTGTGGTAATGTAGCCTATTTTAAACGAACTAAAATAGCTTTTTAGCACTCCATTTTTTGTTTTCTGGTCTTGTTTTAGCCCCAATTTAACGCGCACAGCTGCCTTAGCTAGTTAAGGTGATTTGGCATTTTCTTGTTGTTTCTGTTGCCATTTAGCATAACGTTATTCGTTCCACGAAGTTGTGTTGGATGCATCTAACCACCGAATGAAGAAAACAAAGTGTGAGTCGTATGAGCTATCATGAAGGAGCCTGAAATCGGCTTTATGTCTTTTTTATGTAAGCCTTCGAAAAACGCCTGCTGTTTAAAGTCTCGCTGCGTGTTCAGTTTAAGTCTTGACTGAATTTTGTCCTTTATTTTCCCGAGCTCCACCATAAACTGTCTTTCCTTGTTCTCCCATGCACATCTGCTATCATCTGTACATTCCTTCAAGGTCGTGGTTAATTTTGTCGTTTCGTAGGTACCCAATGCACATCCCGTACCTTCAGTCCCTTCTTTACTCCTAATTTGTATCACACTACTCTTTTTAATTAAGCACATATTATAGTATAAAGGAGCTATATTACGCAATTTCTTTTGTTGTTTAGATGTGAATTATTGAATGGGTTAATTGAAAGACCTTTAGCAGCAATGCATGGAATCTAGTGCTGATGTACACTTCCACTTCAAGTTTTTTTTGCACCCATGGAAAGCTGATTTGATTGCTTAATGAGTAACATTGCACATATGCGAGCACATTACATCATCTTTAAAGATGTGAAAATCGTTGCGGCATGCCTCTATTCTCCGACTCATTGAGAATATCTCATTGACTCGATAAAACTACTTCTTTTAACTAGTCATCGCTTGAAAGTCCTGGGTATATTTTATTTTGTGAAAATTGCTTCCCTGTTTGAACTATTAACTGTAGATTCTGGTCTCTTATGGGCATGCAAATCCTTGTGTCAAGGCAGGACTGATTGCAATACGGCGTTATTTGCTTCGTAAATTCCGTGCACGCAAGGTTACGATCACTATCAAACGACCCATACCTCGGTTTCACTTGTAGGTTAACCGTCACATCTCGCTCTTCTATCTTTTTTTACGTCCAACAGTCAATATGCGCCTTTATTTGAGACCAACCTGGGGTATTATTCACTCCTCGCTTCCCATTCTGCCTCGCCTCAATCGCTGGGCCACTTTGCCCATCATTATCTTCGCATTTGTTGTTGCCCTGATTAATAGTGTGTCGATGTACTTTTCCTCCTTTATTGTTCATTTTGTCTGAACGTCTGGTCCTGTCTATTAGGTCGGCCGTTCTCGCGAATTTACATCACTTGTCACTCCAAGGTAAATATGGGTGCACAATTGTCATTCTCTGGACAATGTGTCCAAGATGCGCATACCGCGAGAGCAGACTCATCTGCTCTATCAGGCGGGCTTATTTAAATATATGAAGCTCTCCTCTGTAAACTCATCTATTAGTGATTTAGGATAGTATGCTGATGCAACAGGTTCCGAGCACTCCAGCCACCTTTTTGACCACAACCACGCTAAATGAGGGTAAAGATCTGAAGGCTATTTGCAGGTAACTGAGTGCCCTAATTCATAATGACCCTAAGTTTATTAGTGTGCGCCTAACCAATGAACAGAGGAGTAATTACTACAAGCCTTTCTGTCAATCGCTCTGTTTATCTTGAAGATAGCGCTGAGTTTCTGCATTACAAAGGAAGCGAGCTGTGTGGAAGTTCGATACAACCCGTCCTAATGCCGATTTATTCCGAAGTAAACAGCATTTAAGATGATAAACAGGTTACTTCATCCTCTCTATCTCCGCATGATTGTATAGGTTGTAATTTTCTCGAAATGCCATTAATTCTTTAGACAAATGTGTAATGTCAGGTAATAAGAAAATCTGCGAGGTCTGTTTTCGTATATTCGTACAACTTTCCCGCCATTTTAATACCCTTTCCCCCTTCATGTCATGGAGTGTCGGTTAGTGATGATGATGTAATTTGGACCTCTTTTTCTTGATAATGTAAATTAGCGTTGGTAACGAAGCATTTTGTTTGCATTAGCTTCCGTTGCGCGAGTTGTGATGAAAGCTGCTAAATAAATGTGTGCTACTTCTATTACGAGTGTATGGCAAGCAAAAGTTTCTAATGTTATCCATTTTTGTTTATTCACCCACTACCTCTTTGTAAAAACGTGGCATTCATTTTAGATTGTTTTATGACTGACTGACTTTGGTATTGCAACGTTTGTTACATGAACGAATATATCATTGGTTACCTCTAAGTGGCTTTACTCACTGCTCATTCCAGCTGCGTCAGCTTTGTGTGTAAATGTGAAAAGCGAGATTTTTTCCTATGTTAATACCTGAATATCCTGGCAGGATATCCACTCACACTGAAGTCATATGTAGACACTGACTATTGTGGTCACGGTCTTTGTCGCCTATCTTGACTTCGCCATCTCGTATCCTATTGGGTCAGCTTTTTCACCCAATCAAATTACCGTCTCAACGCCAACTAATTAGATCTTTTTCTTCTCTCCGTAGACCTATGAGGGTGGCTTTGGTGGACAGCCAGGCCTGGAGGCACACGGCGGTTACTCTTTCTGTGCTTTCGCCGCCCTCTATCTCCTCGACTCCATCCACCTTGTTGACGTTCCACGTCTCCTTCGCTGGGCTGCGCATCGCCAAATGCCTACCGAGGGTGGCTTTCAGGTTTGTCTGCCTGTCAATGCTGGTAAAACAGTGAGGTTGTAGTAAAATGCACTTAACTAAGCCTACAATAATGCTAGGGTCTGATGAATGCAATAGACTGCTGTTGAAGTGTAGTTTTACTTGTTCTGATTATGGGTATTCATTTTCTATTGGCTGTTTGATTTCTCCTTTCCTTTGATTAGTTGCTACAGCAGGCATCTGCTCGTTTGTAGGCGATTGATATTTCCGTGCCTTCATTCAAGATGAAAAATGTTGGAATCATAGGCAGTGTATGCAGCCCCAACTCTAACTATTTCATCTGAGTGGTTGTTGATGTAGGAGTTCGATAGCTGTTTTCACACATTAGCTTAGCACGACGTATATACCAATTTCAGATTGTATCCAGTAGCAGAAAAGTTTGTGCTGTTTATAATACAGCCCCCTTTTCGCGAATAATTGTATGTTATAGAGGCTTTGAGTAGATAGTAGTGCATAAATGTCCGTCAGTGTATCCTTATCTCACTATGTACCATTTTCCTCTTTGTTGGTTGAATCTAACATGATTCGAATTTATTTACTTTAGAGCTTAGTTTAACTCGATCCTTAGTTTTGTCAAGTGGACCTTGAAGTAGGGGCGGCGGCAGAACCTGCTCTCGGAGACGCTTTGCATATATAACTTGATTCTAGTGACGAACGCTTAAGGATAGTTACATCTCTTGTATCTAACCATAATAATGGGGTGTGTATCACCGTTGACACATTAATTCGATATTAGCCTGCCGTCTAAGATGTTCAGTAGTGTTTGACATGAGTGATAAAATAGTTCGTTTAAATCTCCATCGGTAGTGAGAGTTGTGATAGAAGCTACCAAATAAATATTATCAATTTGTGGTTCATCACTCTCTCTTCATATCGTAAAAGCGTGACATGCACTTTGGATTGTTTTACGACTTTGGTATTACAACGTTCGTTACGTGAACGAACAAATTATTTGTTAACTCGAAACTATTTTACCTGCTACCCAATCCACATGTCTAAGACCCGCATCACTTAATACTTCCATGACTGTGCTATCTTTGTGTTTCTGTGTTTGGTGGGGTGCTGGCTTTGCCTTACTCAGTTGGCAAAGACCAAGCGACTGTGAGTTAGGCGGATCTCGGCACAGCTTGGTTCAAGTGGGTGATGTGTAAGAGAAACTTCACCTTCGTGGACAGACAGTTAGGTATAGTAAATGAGTGAGAACAACGTGTGATTCTTGTAGAATAAAGCACAAATATCATGGCATAAAATATGACCGCGAGAAGACCTCACGGTGTAGTGTAATGGAAGGGCAATACTGCCACCTTGTCATCAACCGTATCCTCTCCACATTTCTCCAGAAGTTAATTATCGACCTTTCTTGGCTTAAAGTAGTTACATGATCATATAGGAAGTAAAAGACACTTGGGAGGCAAAGGTGTAATCGAAAAGGAGGTGGAATTTGTAAATAGCTTGTGTACGAGATTGTGGCAGTGAGTGCCTCTATGAGTAAAGCATGTTAGGATTTTTCCTGTTGTCTTACTTTTTTTCTTGTAGAAGAGACAACTCACATGGATGATTATTCGTGACTTACTTTTCTAGCCCCTTCAATTAGAATAAAAGGAGTTTTGAAATAAACTCGGGTTGCTTTTAATTTGTGGATGTAATTTCTGCTTCCTGTTGCCCTTTTCCTTTTCCATTATGTAATTGCTTTTCTACATTTGCAAACGTGTGCCTTGTTTGTTGGAGTCTTTTGCCAGTCTTCCTTTAATCATTAGAAACTTAATAGTCACCAGACGCACCGAAGGTGACACTGCACAGAAAATGGACCTTTTCACAATCATTTGGGATTCCTTCAATCTGGCAAATGGGTAGCATGGAGCTCTGTTCGTACAATTTATGTCGCTAAACGCGCAGACCTTCTCCGTTTGTGATAAAGCTACTTGCAAACTTTCCTACCTCGTATCATCATCGTTAATAGCAGCTTTGATGCCACACTTGTGGCAGCTCAGTGAGATATGCCAGATTCTTGAATGTCCCCTGCGAAATATGATGGGTTTTATCAATGCCTTCACACTGAGTCCTGGATCCAAACAAATGGACTGGTTACCATGTCTGAATGTCGTTGGCTATGAGTGGATGGAGGGGCTAAGAAGGGTACACTAACTTGTTGGGGACGCACTTCATCTGTAAAGTAGTAATGAAGCAAGAAGTAGATTTTTAATACCTTCCACTATATGATGCCAGGAATAATCCAGATGAAGTTCTAGGCGAAATGCAATAAGGGAAGAGGGTCTGCTCTTGCTGCACGGCAGTATCCATTCTTAAGCGTTGCTTCCGTGCAGTTCACCAATGGAAGAGCTGTAGTAATTGAAGAACCTCGAAATCTATGAGGTATTTCCAAGGAACTTTCCTATTCTAACGGGAAATTTGCATATGATGTTATTCCTCCCTCGCGGTCACTTTAAATTCGCTGCTCATGTTACTTGCATCGTCAGACGATGACATTTGTTTATGCTCACAGGTCTCATAAGGTTACTCGGGCAGTGGGTTAATCGACATCATTTCAGTATTATGCAGTGGACTTTTATTTTCTGAAAGCTATCCATTCGTCCATCCAATCATCTATCTATCTAAAATGCTTTCCCCAAGTTTATCCTTATCAGATATTCCAGTAACTTGTACTTCTGTCATTTTAGCTATTTACCTGGCTGTCTTTTGAGCAATATCTCTTCCACTGACTGCCTGTCAATTCCTCAATTTCTTTCAGTCTACGAGGTTCATTTGAATATCCGTACAAACTCATTTATTGGGTCCGTATTAACTTGCTAATGGAGAATTGAAGAGTGGAAAGGCTGTTGTGAGTGTATGCAAGCATTATTGAAGCTTTTGAGGACCCATATCTCTCTTTTTTCTGTTGTATAGGGTCGAACACACAAACTGGTGGATAGCTGCTACTCCTTCTGGGTGGGTGCTATCTTTCCATTGGTGGAACAGGTCCTTCGTGTTGATACTGATAGTGCTAATACCCCGGAGACGGCGCTATTCGATACGTCTGCGTTACAAGTAGGTCAGGATTGTAAGAATTTGGATCTCTATTTTGTTGATTTGAAGTAGATTGTTGACACTACCAATAGGTCATCATAATTGAGTCTTCACACTCCAATCCCCTGTTGTTATTGACGTCGTGAAGCACAGCTCAAGGCGCTGTTTTTGGAAAAATACGCGATTATCGGAGTGAGAAGGTCCCTTTCGAAGAGCTGTTTCGAGCCTTCGATTATAGGTCCTCCGCTGTATTGCCGCTTTTATGCTAATACTAGACCGGTTGTTGCGAGAATGTGTCCAAATAGCTCAAAACACCCACCGAATAATAGCATAGTTCTTTCTTCGGTCGATGATTTGTGTAGGAGGTTTCCCTCGAATTTTGTGCTGTCTACTCAGCAAAATAGCTCTATGGCTCCTTAACTTCATGAAATGTGAGTCAAAGGTATTTCTACTCTTTTTTTGGAAGATTTGCCGATATTCATCGAATTTGGGCGTTCATTTATGTCGTAGTGATTTGTGACTAAATGGAGGATGAATTTTTTCAGAGGCGGTTCGATCTACTAACGTAGTCAGGCGTTTAAAAGCAGGCGGTTCGAAACAAGCAGGGTCAGTGAAAGGATAAAGCGAGTGACTTAATTTGTGAGAAATCTGGACGAGCTTTAACGAGTCTTTCGACAATTGCACTTCCTTACGGATAAATGTTTCCATTGAAATGCAACTAAGACCCAATTCTATGCATAAGTTTCTTCTATCGTAAAATTTTTCAATATCTTCTCCCCCCACCCCTTCAGGAATATGTCCTCCTCTGCTGCCAGAAGGTTCATTACACCCGTCCCGGTCTCTCAGTACCAAACAACCAGATGCCAGTGATTGATACTAGCGGAGGCGGCCTTTTTGATAAGCCTGGCAAGAATGTCGACCCCTACCACACCTGCTATGCTCTTAGCGGTCTCTCCGTGGCCCAGCACTCCCCTCGTACCCCCGACGCTAACACTGTTATCCTCCCCGATATGCCCTTCCCCCCTGTCCCGGCACGCGATGTCGCTGGCGCCCAATGGGGCAATGAGTTAGCCGACATTGACCCCTCCCTCAATGTCGTTCTTGACGCCGCAGTCTTTGCTAAAACCTACTTCAGTCTCATCGACTCCGGTGCAGAACGCGAGGTAGCTGCTCAACGCGCCATTGAAGCTGCCGACAAAGTCTCCTTCAAACAGGCAACCTGTGATGTCAACAGCGAAACCGATGACGGGACCGTTCTGGGAGCCTACGAGCCCATGGACCACATGCCAAACATCTGTACCTCCCCATGATATGGTCTATTCACTCCCACACACACACACACCCAGAGAGAGCGTATAACAAGTTCTTTTACACACCCTGCCCTAAGTTGTCCTCGAGGTTTAAACGCAGAGGTATTAATATTATTGGTAATAGTAGCAGTTATATAGGTATGTGTTACATTTTAGTGTGTGTGCGGGTAAGGAGCGCAATACAGGAGGATTATTAGCGCGAGAGAGGGGAAATTTGGGGAGAAAACGAAGAGTGGGCGAGGGCAAAACAAGCTCGCACGCAGCAAAAAAGACTACACGAGGGAGTAACGAGGGGCAGAGCAGCGGCGGAGTAAAATTAAAACATCCGACTTGGGTGTGCGTGGGTGGCTGAGGGCAATTTTACACGGTGGATATAAAACACGAGGTCGTCGTTCGTTTGTTGTGTTTGTTTTGTGTTCTGCAGCGGAAGGAAGGGAAACTGGTGACAGTTATGACTGTGGTCGGCAGTTTGTACGGAGAAAATGCATCATCGTCACCAACATTACCAGCGGCGGTAGGCTGACGGCTGTCACCAAGAGAGAAGAGAAAGTTGACGGAGAGAGCAACAAAATGCGTTTGACGCTTATACAAACACACGCGCACGCAAACTCAGGTAGAAGAAAAAGGAGGAGATCATTCCGGCTTGCTGAGGTCCAATACGTCACCATCGCCGGCACTACTGCTGCCACAGCCTTCACCAGTGGCAACAATGACAGGTTTACCGCCACTCCCAGCACCACCTATCGCTTCCTCTTCGTCTACTGCAGGGCGCTCCTCTCCTTCTGTCTCCTGTCTTGAGGTCAAATGAGGAGGAGGCTGTGGACTGGAAGCGGGCACCTCGGTAACCTTCTCTGTCGTCAGCTGGGAGTTCAAAGCCGTGGAGCCGAATACAGAGGATAGAAGGTTGGACATCTGCTGACGCTGAAATGCGTCCGATGATCCTGTTGCTGTTGCGCTCGATGATGAAGCAGGAGTAGAACCAGAAGTGGCGGTAGCATTCGTTGAGCTACTTCCGCTGCTGAAGTGTTGACCGTAGAGGGAGGGATTGTACATGTAGGCCGCGGCAACAAAAGACGCCGCTTGTTGGTACGCCGTCAGGACCGACTGCAAGTTTTCCGGTGTCAATTGACTCGTCGCAGTGGTTGAGGTTGACGCAGAGGGAACCGATGACGCCTCCGCACCACCGCTCCGCTTTGCCTGATCATCTGCTAGAAAAAAACCGCGTTTTAAGCTAGCAAAAAAAACCGAATCCAACAAGACTATATCAAAAAAACTGACGCACCTATAGTTACCGGATCAGAGGCAGTTGAGGCCGAGGATTTCGTCTCACTAGAAGTGGAAGGTTTCTCTGTATCACTGGATTTCTGTTGGGTGGACGGAGCGGAGGAAGTTGCTGCTGCCGCAGCTGCTTGGGAATAACCGAGCGCAGAAGCGATCAAACTCGCATAGGCTGGATTACTCGAATAGGCTGAGGCAGCGACAAAAGCGAGCAGCTGCTTCTGTTGATGCTCCATCAGCTCGCTGGCCGAAGCAGTGGAGGTAGATGCAGTCGGCCGCTGGCTACTGCTACTCGCAGCATAACTAGCCACCTTGCTCAACACACTGGACATGTAGTGACGATATGCGAGCGCCTCCATTGCTGAAGTATCCTGTCCACGAGCCTTTGCGACCCGGTTAAAAATAACTTGATCCTCTGGCTCCACGGAATACGGCATATAGTCTGGATGCGCCTCCAACCAGGCTTCCAAATGCCGTCGTTTTGGTGCCTTCTCTCCGTGGATCAAATTCCCATTAACCAGAGAGATGAGAGGAACATTGACCTCCCAGGCGGAAGAATCCGGCGGTGGAAGAGACGTTTTGGTGTCCGTGGTCTCGAACTTTCGTTTCCTGCCACGTGTGGAACCAGGAGAACCACGTGGAGGTAGCATCTGACCACCTCTTGAACCTCTTCCACGAGTTGGTAATGGACTCTCCGTACTTTTAGTCACAGCTGCCAACGAAGCCGCAGAAGCGAAATCTTCACGAGAGTAGGCACCCGCACCTCCTCCGCCTCTAGAACCACGACCACGTCCACGACCTCCCCGAGAACCACGACCACCACCCCTTCCACCACGAGAGGAGACTGCGGTGGGTGCTGCCTGCGTGCCAGCACCGATATCAGACTGATGACCTCCAGCAGCAGCAGCGGCAGCGTTTGCTGCCACAGCCGCTTGAAATGCGAGAACCTGATCGATGCTGGTGTATCCGGCGGCCGAAAGAGCGGCCAACGTGGCTGCTTCGGCAGAAGTTAGGGCTTTTTTCTGAGTTGAGATGTCGGGTGAACTTGGAGGGGCTGGAGAGGCGTCACGACTGCCTCCACCGGTGGAATCAGTGAGGTGGTATCGACCTAGCTCCTCCACATTATTGAGGATGTAGCGTCGGGGCAGAGGCCAATGACCCGTCTCAATGCATTGGCAGACCATCTCCAAACGGTTGTGGATAGCGCGATCTTTAGGCCAGCCCACGGCCAGGCTAGTAGCGAATTGGAGGGACCACCTGAAGTGTTCGTTGTTTATGGGCTTTGTGTCGAACGATGGGGACTCGGGATTGGGTTCAGAGGAAGTGACGATATTGGTGCGGCCTTCAAAAGCCCCATTTTCTAAATGGGAGATTTACTCAATTATTGGATGCAAATTGTGGATAGAGCTTGGATGGACAGGTTCACTTACCAGATTGGTCTTCTACCGGATTCCCCTGATTTTCAGATTCTTTTCTTGTCGTTCCAAAGGACAATGAACCTTCGGTTCGGGGAACATTTGCAGCATCGATTTTGGCTTCTAATTCGGCTGCAACTGCTCGGGCAGCGACGGAAGCCGCAGCAGCCAAGCTGGCTCGCGCTTCCACCTCGCTAACACTCAAGGGACCGCCGAGGGTTGTGTCCGTGGATGTGCCCGCTGTAGGTGGCGTCACTCCATGAAGAGCCGAAGGATTTTTCAACAACTGACGTCGAACCAGAGCCGAGACGCGTGAAAAACTGAACTTTTTGTCAGGAAGGATGTTCAAGTCCGTTCGCGCTAAGCCATGTCTGGAAAAGATGGAAGATAAATCCACGAAATGTACTGATTGTGCGATGTTCGATTTCCATCCCATTCCGTAAAGTGTGCACGGAATTCGTGTTTCAGATGTTCATAAAATAAAAGCCCATTAAGCTTGGAATGGTGAAAATGAACTATAAGAAACCGACAATGATGCTACCGCAATGTCACCTGTCTAGATGATAAAAACCAAAACAATATACTAAGCGAAATTTGTTCAAAATAACCAAGAGATCGGCGTCCTGACGTAAAAGTTCATATACCTTGAAATATTAAGTGAACGATAAGGATTTACTGCTAGATTTGACGTGAGGTTAAACCCCCAGACTATAACAGAATCTGTTTAATTGACTGAAGGGATATTGTCCTTAAAGTGCTACGAAATTCACACCTCGAATCTTCAAAATGGAGAAGTTATTGGAATCTAGAAATGATAAGAAATCGTCAGCAATTCTCTTCTGTTAATGTGTCTAGGTTTTAGTGGATTTCTCAAATTATTCTGGTTAGCCTGGGGGGATTGAAAACTATAGTTACAGCAGATATGAAAGTATGAGTATTTGGATGTTCACCTGGCTCGGGTATTATCATCAGCCAAGGCAGCAATTAAGACAAAAATCAAATCACAAGTAGCTAGGTTCGTTTACTGAGGAGTTAAAAGTAGACAAAGTTTTCGCCTCCACACTAGTGAGTGTCCATTTTTTAATTGCTTTACCGAGATGAATACGGCGAATGCAGGTTTGCGTGCGTATGCGCTCACACAGGCGCGCTTGCTACGCAAACAACTTATCACAACGCGAAAATCTTGAAAAGAAGATGCAGAAGAGATGATTCACAGTTATAGCAGCCATGATTAAACAATTTGAAGGCAAAAGATAACGAAAAGAACAGTGTATGATGTCGCAGATGTGTGGACACCCACATATACAGTGCCAGGAAGGCACAATGAGTCATCATCTAAATGCGACCGAAATTAATGCTCGCGCACACACGAAGGTAATAAAAATCCAGGACAGTTAAAGCTGTCTAGAGCCACCCCGCCTTCACCACCACTACTACTGGCAACAGAATTTTAATCTGGTCCGCACTCACCTAGCCACCGCTTGAAGGAGTTCTCGGTCATGTTGCCCGGGCACCCACCACTCGGGCAGGTCGGAGGATCGTTGGCAAAGTGTCAAACGCTCCTCCAGATGTTCGTGTGTGAGGATGGTGTTACGAATGCGATTGAGCAGCTTGATCCGTGAAAGAGTACGCGTTGCACGCTCCTCAGAGATGGGCGCCACGGGTATCACCTCATCGGCGGGGCAGGAGCCGTAAGTCGTGGTCGTTGGCAGCGAACACACTGGCGCTGGCATACCTACAGATAAGAAGTGAGTGAGAGAGATTGCGAGGTCTTAATCAGCAGATCATTAAAACCGAGGCAGGAAAGGCTATTTTTGCAGGTACGCGAACAGGTACGCACGCGCGCGGGGAGGGTGGAGAGACGGGGGAGGAAGACGAGTTATCCTATCACCTTCTCCTCTCATGTTTGCATCCTGCGATGATGAATAAATGTTGGCTTACAGGCACGCTTACATTGGGAGGGACACGTACGCACAAAGCAACCGACTGCCTAGCCGACCAACCAACAGAAAATTTGGTTTCAATAAAGGACACAACGGGCCATAGATGCATTCACGCAGGTAGCGTGCGCGCACAGGCACGCGATGTAAGGATGTGTGAGATAATTTCGAATACTAAATGCACGCACGGCGTGCGTTTATGAAAGGGAATAAGCGAGATTTAGCCAGCTAACTAGTAGGCGAACTAGCGAGTAAGCGAGCAAGATTGAAAGGTAGATGATGATGCGTGCGTGTGTGTGCGCGCAGGTGTGCGGACGTGGGTGTCCGGTCGGACGGACAACGGAGGAATGAGATTGATTTCGCCCAACGCAAACACACGCACGCAGAGAGCGTGTAGTTTTATAACAAAAGTTTTTCAAACGCCTGCCTGCTCAGCACGATAGGTGGTGGTGGCAGTGGCGGCAGTGCAAAGGATAGCAGCGCGAGCGCATGAAGGCCTGCTCATAGCAAACACGCTACTAGCACACACGCACGCACGCGCCCACCGAATTGAGGAGCCAATTAACGATGGCTTGAGTGAATAAAGTGAGGAGTGAAAAAGAGGACTGATCAATGCCCCCTGTATTTGTATACACACACACTACACAAGCTCGGAGCCTGTGAGTCAAGAAACTACCAACCACTACCTACACGTACACACTTGGGATAGTGGAGGAATTTAAGAAACCAAGTGTGTGCCGGCATCAAACATGGTGATGGACCTGAATACATAAGCGGAGGGAGGGGGCGGTGTGATGATACTGGCAACAATAGTAGCAACGTGAACAAATTAACACTTCGTGCCCAGCGGGACGAGCTACAATCAATGGCCAGGCCATCCCAACAGTGACAGCAACTGCAACGACCACACTGTTAGTGGTAGCGGTGGTAGCGATGATGATGGCTGTGATTTAAAGACAGGCCCGCTTGCATGCCCGCACAGATATATGGCGTGCACACAGTGGCGGGAAAGGTGGCTGCATTACACCAAGGTGCTATTCATTTGCGAAGATGGGTGAAGAGTAGCTACACCCCAAGCATCGAGGTAAAGAGGGAACGAGGTATTCGTGGTAGTCTGCACATGCGCGTGGCGTCATCAGACACGCACACAGGACGGTGGTGAGTCACAAGTACCAGAGGCTGAGGTAAGGGTGTATTGGCGGGAGGCGCAGCCTATTAGAGGAAAGTAGCAGTCACAGAAGCTGTGGCCATTTCGACGAGTGACTGGGTGAATGCCATGGATGAAAAAGGGACAAATTCGGTCGAACAGAGAAAGATGCATCTAGACGCCACATGACTCATTAAAATGAGGTCCAACTAGTTTGGAAACCCCTACACGTTCAAATGGAAGCATGAAAATGCAAACACGAGAGGGCAAAAATGGGGGGAGATGAATAATCCAAGCCACCCCATCAGTCACAACATAGACAATACATAGCGCACCATCAATGGTGTCTTTTGAAATTACATTCCATTGGTGGTAAAGGCGGTAACTAGATCCCGAGAATTACAGCCCAAAAGTCAAATCCAATGCCCATCAACACAGCCTTTCTACCTTAAAGCATTTACCATCGGTGTCACACGCGGGTGACATGTCCATTATTAATTTTTGTTTGAGTTTAAAACGTTAAAATAGATGGAGAACATTCAGGGTTCGAGGGCGATTACATTGGTTTTTTTCTAGACAGCATAGATTTATCAGAAAATAAAACATTTGAACTGTAGCAGTCTGCTTTCCTCAACTTCTTAGATCTTTGTAGACAGATCTATATTGTATTGATGAAATGTTGGCGGAATTCTAACTACTGCTAAGATATTAGATTGTATTGAAGCTTTCACCTCGAACTCCCAAAAGAGAGGTTTATTTACAGAAGCAAGTTCATCTTTCAAGGAAAATTTTCTTAACCCAACTTCCCAGATATCAGACGCATTCATCATACAGGCGTTGGGCCAAATCTCAGGTCATGACCCCTGGGGATACTCAGTTCCAGAGGTAGACCAACCCTCCAAAGTTGGTGTTAAGACATCGTTCAGTACTATCCCACGGACTGTTTTGAAATCTCGCCTTTGAAGCCGTCACATAAAGGCATAATCGAAATCTGAAAAGCCCATTCAAAATGGCAATCATGACGCATCTTCACGATAGCGAAACCCAACATCGAACAGTCAACACAAATGTGCAATTCCATGAAATTACCAGGAGGTGTAAGACCCCTTGTGGAAAAATTGACCCACATAAGCCGGTTGAAACCGTGCACACAAACGCGAGTACACAAATGCACTAATTAGGTCGACTTCATTAGGAGCCGTTTTTTCACACATGACTGATGAAATAGGAGAGGTAGAAAGAGGCCCACCTTCTGGAAGAGGCTCATTGCAGACGCGATGGCACATGGTGAGGAATGAATTGTAGTATTCAGTGATAGCTTGATCAGACTTCTTCGAGAGGTTTGCAAGCACCTTGAAGTTAGTCCAATTGTAGCCTATAAACACACGACCACCACCTGGTCGTCGCGATGAGGTTGGTGAGTGGGGAGGGCTGCGGAGTACTTGCTCCACTCCAAAACTTGAAACCACACGGTAGAAATCGGCCTCCTCTCGGCGAGACCACTTTCTGTAACAGCAAGAGGGTTATGATCTGTCTTTGTTAGTCAGAAAAAAAAACGACAAAATAAAAATCGGTCTACATGATCCGTTGCTCTAAGTACGGCTGTGTAGTAACGGAGGGAATGCATTCGGAACGAAGATTATGCACCGACTCCAGTTCGACCTGCGCTCGAACCCGCTGAAAGTAGGCGATGAGCTTCCGCATACGACTATTAAGATCGACCACAGCTGGGAAGAGGAGGAGGGGTGGGGGAAGCTGCGTCTCGGTCTCAACCTCGCCCACCTCCGCTTTCGTCACCTCACTTTTCGGTCTTGAGGTGACGGCAGTAATGTCGTCAGTAGCAATAGTCAATATCTTCTCGTCATCATCTTCCTCCTCCGTCTCCTCCGGCCTCATCGTCGGCTCTGAGTCTCCGCCTTCCTCCTGTTCCTCCGATTTTATCTTGATGCCTGCAACACCCTTAAGAGTACCGATTGTGGAAGGGATTGGAATGGTGGGCGCGTTGGAACCATAGACACGGCGATAGAAGCAGAAGGCGGGATCATCACGAATTGCAAAGTACTTCTCCCATCCGTGTTTGAAAACGCCAAGGAGAAGACACTTGTCGCAACATGAGTCCCACCAATCTGCTGGCACGTCGGCATCCAGAGCTTCGAGAGAAAGTGAAGGCTTTAAGAAACAGACCCAAATTAGCTGAAGAATGAGTTGATGGAGCAGAAATTACACACCTTTGAGAGGGGGAAGACTTTCTGCTAATTGTGTGAAAACAGAGTGGTCAAGGGATCCATCACAGAGACCGTCCGCATGTTCCAGACCGACAATTTCCGTGTGGAGGAAGTAAAGGGTGTAGACCCTCGCCAACAAACGACCTCCAGCTCGCACCAAGTGACGTTTGAAAGAGTCACTCGTAATCCCAAAGTCAACTTGATCCAAATCCTCCTCTCTTTTGGAGACATCCTGTGTGTGGTCTTCCTGTTTCGGAGTGTCCGCAGTAGAAGCAGGATCCATGTCAAAGTTGAGCATAGTTGGAGTAGTGGGAGTGCTTGGATCATTTGGAGAATCCGTCCCAAGACCTCCTATTCTCAATCCGGCTCGCCTGCCACGTCGAACCACAAAACCACAACCACTAGTGGTAGAACTGATACCTCCAGGTCCCCTCAACGACACCTCACTGTTGGAAGCCTTTAAAGATTGAACTACATCTGCGATAGTCCGAAGACCATTCACATCGACGGAATTTATCATTTCCATGACCACTGCACGCACTTTCGCATCCCCACCGCTAGTCAATGCCGGTGTTACCTTCAGAGCATAGCCAAGGATACATCGAGCAATTCGCTGCATCTCCATCTCCGATATGACTCGCTTGAAGGGAAAGCAATCGATGGCATGGGCCCACCGTCCCCAACTCCACGTGAAGAGACATTTCTCCACCCGGAAGAGATCTACTCGATCAATAGACTCCCCAATACCCTCCTCGTTTCGACGGGACTTCTTGCTCTTCTTGTGCTTCGGCTTAGACGAGGGGACAATGTTGCCAATGGTGGTTCCGCTAGCCCTGGAGTCTCCACCGTCGTCGTCAGCACAAGAACTCTCGCCTGAGCTGTTTTCGCCGTCAGTGGACTCAGCGTTGCTGCCCCCGCCGTTGTTGCCGTTGGGTAGACGCGAGGCGCATTGCGAGTGCGTCAGGCTGCTGCTCGACTGCTGTTCATTCAGTTCGGCCGTGTAGCGATGCGTTTGACGACGCTGGCGTGGTGTTGTCATTATCAGATCCTTTAAAAATCGGAACATATGAACAATTACACGCAAAGTTGATGCATCATTAGGTATGAAATGTTCGACCTACAACAGTTACTATGATGGAACATCAAGGGACACTTCCGTCTGTAATCCACCCAAAAACTGCAATAATTGAACTTTGCGACTTGATTATCAATTTTTACTGGTCCAACAGCATTAGACTATTTTAAAAAAAGAGCAGAAGCAAGAAATTGGAAGGAATGGACAGAAGTCAAAAACTGGTAATGTCTTCACTCTAACAGCGTGAAAGCAACCAGAAACGCTTAACCGTACAGAGAATTTGATCTGAGGCTATGACAAGCTTTAAATCAAGCAAAGTGAAAGATACCAGTTGTCTCAGGTAAAGCGCCATTCACCAGCTGCAACTGTAAGGAAGGCCAACCCAAATGAACAATTCTGATCCTACTGGTCGGACACCCTAACTGCTTACATTGCAGATGGTTGAAACTGTGAGGACTGGCTACAAAAAAGTCATCAAGACACTGCCAACTTTTGGCAAGCCTCCAGTTCCGAGGTCTGCACAATAACCGCCAGTGGTGCAAGACTAGATTTCACTGAACTGAAAGAGACTTGACAGTAATATCTCAAGTGAATCTCTCCCAATGCATTCATTCAAGAAGTCCAACCAAATCCACCACAAACCACTGGGAATGAAGTAGGTGTCACCGTATCGTCGTTTCTGGCTCGCGTTTGACTAGGATTCGTGATAACTGAAGTAGGTAACCGTATAAAGCATCGGGCTGGTGCTCAGAAGAGCTCTGTGGCAAAACGGTACTTTTGTTTGTACATTGAATTATGCAGAACCTTAAGTCTCCACTTTTTAATCACCATCTTTGATGCCATGATGACCCATCCAAGCTCATGTTCACCCACCGCTTTTGTGGGCAAATCATAAACTCACTTCCAGACTAGTGCAGCCTAGAGGGATAACTCAGGGCCCTGTATTATTATTTAAACAATTCAAAACGGCCCAAAAGCGACTTAGCTGGGAAAAGTCGACGTAAAAATAATGTACAAGACGCTCGAAAATGAGGTGTCTTGAAACCCCCCCCCCTTCATTGCTATCATGGGGAGAAAGATAAATTATGGGGAAAAAAAACAATAAATCTGACTTCTTTTTACAAAGCATTTTGGCACGATGGTCAAATAGTGACAAATCACACTGCCAAGTCAAAGGCCCATCAAAAATCAACGGTGCCCACTTAATAGTCCACTCTCGAGTCGGCACAATTCTTTACAACTTATTATGATATCTAACGTAACTGGATAAAATTATGAGTTAAGGAATCTTGCGATAACAATGCTACATTCAAGAATCGGCTATTCCCCAATCAAACCCCCAAGCTTTTCATGGTACGACACTAGTCTTTATGAATTTGCCTAAATTTAGTAAATGGATTGAAATTGGACGCCTCATGCTCAATGACGAAGTTACCTCGAATTCCAGGCCAACTTCTTCCACACCAGCCTTTTTGGCCCATTTCTGCCAGAAGTCGGGATCATCCAACGCGATGTCGTTTCGATTATCAGAGATGGAGAAAGTGGCCTAGGAAAAAGGTATGTAGGTCAGATCTCATCAACAGATTCACCAGTCACACGATGAACACAGTACCTTTGAGAAGGTCGAATTCTTTTCTCCCTGTTCCAGTTGTACAACATGAGATCGTGATTGGAGAATTTGGTCGATGTCCTCTTCACAAAAGTCATCACCAGCCTTATCATCATCCATGAGGGCGCCATAAGCACCCTTCTTGAGAAGTTCCTCCACCTCTTTCTTGCTCAACTGTGCTTGTCTGGCGTGAGCACCAGTTGATTGGAGAACTGCCTTGTCCAGACCCAACTTCAACGACGCTCGATCGAACATCTCCCGCTCATAGGTATTGCGTGTGATGAGACGGTAGACTTTTACCATTTTCTGCTGACCGATACGGTGGCAGCGTGCCTGAGCTTGAAGATCATTTTGTGGATTCCAGTCGGAATCATAGATTATCACTACATCAGCCGCTGTTAGATTAATGCCTAAACCTCCAGCTTTGGTGCACAACAGAAAGACGAACTTATCGGGATCTGGAGAAAAGATATAAAAACATCGATTTCAAGGTTTGCGCGATGGAGACTGGGTGGGATTCTGCAAATTTTAGTGTTGAAGGACGCAGTATTCGTAGCGTATCCTCAGAGGTCAATTTTAAAACGTCCTCATAAACCAACCACAAGTTATAGCTGCCAAAAAAACAAATTGTGTAACCTATATCTGCTACATCATAGCCATATGGCCCCATTTATCAAACCACTGTGATCTAAACTAGGTTGGTTTAACCTTAAGAACAAACAGCCCAATTTAGTTAGCACTGCGTCAATTAAAAATGACGTAAAGGTAGGTAACCTGGATGTTACACCGAGGAGTTAGCTATTTAAGAATAGAACTTTCATGGAGCGTAAGCAACCCAAACGCAATCGGGGATGACCCAGAAAACAGAGAGAAAAGGTATGCTGTCTTCACTAACGCAGACAACAACCACAAAATTCTCTCCAAATTTCATCATCAAATCATTTGTGTTTGATAATTATTTCTCCGTGGTAGCCAAAAAAGCATCCTTACTGGTCGAAACTAGAAATGTGGAGTTAATTCAAATCATCTGCCGCCACGCCTTAGCTCCGAAAACTATTGTCAACCCCTGGATTTAAAGTTCCTTACTGCTCCCTTACAAGTGACCCGGACAGAGCAGTGACCGATCTTACACTTTCATGATCATTTCAGCAGACCCAATCTCCAGCATGATCACAATTACCAGGGGCTCATTGATATCGACTGTTGAAGGTTGCCTGAAAAATTTCGTAGCTTTAATCATAACGAAATGTGTTTTTTACCAATGTTCATGCAATGATACGCGCTAAAGGTTGTAAAAGAACCACTGACGTCTAGCAGACACGTGTATTCTTTTTGAAAGGTGGGCTTACCCTCAAATAAACATGCAAATCAAATTGACAAACACAGTAAGAGCCCAAAGCAAGTTAAAATGGAATGGAGTCCAAACAAATTAATTAATTTCGCGGTGAGGATGCCAATGACTAAGCATACTTGTACACATTCATTTCTAATTAAATAACCACAAACACAAATCAGCCATGATCGACTAAATGAGAGACATTAAAGAGGTGCCAAATCACACAAACGACCAACCATTGCAGAAACGATCGATCGCCTCTTGCCGCAGCAGTCCATGGATGCGTCCATCAATGCGCTCAAAGCTGAAGCCCTGGTAGACCAGATAGTCCTCCAGAATGTCCAAAACACGAATCATCTGTGAGAAGACCAACACCTTGTGCCCACCGGCCTTCAGCTTTGGCAGCAGCTTGTGAATGAGCACTAGTTTGCCTGAAGCATTCAACATAACGTTGAACATTTGCTGCTCCTCATTGTAGGGTTTTGAGGGATCCGCTTCAGCCTGGGAGAAGAAAACGTCTGGAATAGCCCAACAAAACTCAGAATTTAAGGAAAATAGAAAGCTTTATCGCACCAGAACTCGCTGTTCAGCAAGAATAGCCTCTTCAGCCCCTTTGATAAGAAAAGGATGGTTACAGCACTTCCGAAGTTCCATCATCACATTCATGAGGTTTGGCATGTTAGAAGCCGTAGTGCCTTTGCAGAGAAAGGTGAAATTTCGCTCCATTATCGCCCGATAGTACTTCTTTTGAAGATTTGTCAGTTCCACCTAAAGGACATGGTGTTTGTCAATAAGCTGTCCTCAATTACTGACCTATTAGTAGACATTACCTCGATGATGGTTTCCTCTTTGGGAGCAAGACCCTTTTCTACGTCTTCCTTCAACCGTCGAAGCATCATGGGCTTGAGAAGGGTCTTCAAATCTTCCACCTGTTGTTCTGTCTTCAGCTCACCAAACTCCGCCAAGAATGTGGAAGCACAAGCAAACCGTTCCGGTTCAAGGAAGTTTAAGAGACCAAATAACTCCTCCACGTTGTTCTGCAATGGTGTTCCCGTCAACAGCACTCGATGGTCCTGTAAGGGAACAATGAATCCAAAATTAACCACCCACAGCTAATTAGAAGAGCCTTCTCAATTAAGCTGATAATCATGATGATGGGTGCCGCTTCTGTGCGTTGGTCTTGCAAATACACAAACCCAATGTTGACAGTAACGTGCACAAACAAGCCTCTAATATGCGTTTGTGTATGCATGTGCCAAAAAAACCCGAGAGCACTCACCAGATCGAGATAACGCAGCCCCTCACCAAGTTTGCACTTTTTATTCTTTAGTCGGTGCGCCTCGTCAATGATGGCCACAGCCCAGTGCATCTTGCCGAAAAACTCGATGTCCGACATAAGTACCTCGAAAGTGGTGATAAGAGCATTGAATTTGTAGACATCGTGACGGTACTGGGAACTGAAGAGGTTGTTACTGGCGACTGATAGAGCGGCGACAGAACCACCGGCGGCTTTCTTCCGATGGTAGAAAAGCTCGTACTCCTGAATCATGCTCCGACTGACCGCACTGCCGTGGTAGACAATGGTGTTGAGGTCCGACCAGTTTTCGAATTCACGTTGCCAATTGCCCACAGTGGAGAGAGGCACAATGATAAGGAAAGGTCCGGCAACGCCAGCTTTGATCACTTCCAAGAGGAAAGCTATGGACTGGACCGTTTTGCCCAAACCCATCTCGTCAGCCAGAATACAGTTTCGTTTGTTATACCAGCAGAAGGACAGCCAGTTAACTCCCTCAACTTGGTATTCACGTAACCGGTTGTCGTTGCGATATACCTCGTCCTCAGTGATTGGACGCCACACGGAGGGGTCCGGTCGAATAATCTATTCCATAAAAAAAAAAACAGCGTAAAAACATGTATCATTAGCTTTAACCGTGTGAAAGACATTTAACATACCTTGTGATTGCTATCACGAATAACGGGAGGGTTCTTAGGTGGATTCCTAATGCGCATGTACTCCCTGACTTTGGCAGGGTCAACATCTTCAGCTAGCTCCCAAGTAGCGTCTTCATAAGGCAAAGATCGCCACTTTACGAGGTAGTAAGTGACTGTTGCAGGTTGTTCATCATTCAGGGTTGGAGCTTCGTCTTGCGTCTCGGATTCAGCAGTGTCAGGGGTGTCCGCGTTCGTGGTTGCCACTTCATCTTCCAACCCCTCCCCTTGTGTCCGGGACCTTGGTGGTCGACCACGCTTCTTCCGACTCCTTTGCTGACCCTGGGGACGCTTGATTGTCCCATCAGGATTGAGAACATCGTCGGTGACAATATCCCCACTGACGCGATCGTAGATGCGGATGTCGAGAACACGATCTACCTCCACATAATCGGGATTGAAGAGTACCGTCGTGCCATCGTCATCGTCCGCGCTTGGCGGTGGAAGGGGTTCCGTGCCGTTCTTGGCTAAGAACTTTTTTAATTTCGTCGCGATACGCGGGTCTGCGATCTCATCCAGAGCCTTCCACTCACAATGCATGTAAGAGCTGATGAAGAAGATAAAAGATTGAAAAATGCTTATTTGCAAGCACTGAATGTGTTAGTAATGCTGTAGAAACTCACAATCCCTTATATTTTAGGTAAAACTCTTCAACTTGCTCCTCCTCTTCCTCTTCTTCCTCCACCTCTGCCTTTTCCTGATGTTGCTGATCTCTATCCATTCGATGCTCTGCCTCCTTTACTTTCCCATCATCCTTTTTAACGGAGGGATTCATTTCACGCATATCAGGATTTGGATGGTCCCTCTTTGGAGAAACACACCTTTGGCCCTTCTGCAGTTTCTTCACGGGTCGTGTTGACATCCGATGCCCGAGAATTTTCTCAACCACCTTCACGACAACAAAATCAGCGCCCTTGGAAAGAAAATGGGAATGATTACCATCGAAGAGAAGAAAAGCCCAAATTTATTCCACTCACAGATCGCCTTCCAGAACCCTCCACGGTCTCATTGTCAGACGCATCGGCTGAATCGCCTCCTTCACCGTCGCCATCGTCCGATAGACCGAAATCGACACTATCGATGGTGTACTTCTTTCGATCCGTCCCTCGTCTGCCTGACCGTCGAGCCTAAAAAACTCGAGTAATGAGCAAATCACCAACGTATTGAGAGAAGTCAAAGGGGAACTCACAGAGGAATCAAGGGAATTTTCATCATCGAGTTGGGAATTAATACTGTGTGAGGAGGCGACTGGATGGAGAGCAGCACGTGATGAGCACCCACCACCATCATCATCCGAATCCGAACCGTCTGACTCGTCACCATAATGGTATGCTCCGCGTCGCTTTTTCTTCATCAAAGATTTCAAAGATCTGAACGGGCGACAAAAGTTACCAAATTGAATTTTTGTTCAATCAAAATGAAAAACGATTAAAGACACACTTCTTCTTCTTCTTTGGTCGTGAAGCTCGCAGACGCGGTGGTGGCCTTGGACGCTTCAAGAAAACCTCCGTAGTCTCCTCGGTAGTTGTCGTCGTAGTTGCAGTAACCGATTCCTCGTCCACTTCAGTTAAGGCCACCGAAGCAGCCATTGTATCCTCGTCATCATCACCTTCCAATATCATGGAAGCCTTAGCCTCAGAAAAACTTGATTTATCCAAATCCTCAGCCTCAATCCCCCGTTTATTAGCATCCAAATCGTAGTTCACTACAGCCTTCGAAGGCACCGTCTTCCGGCGTGAACGCTTCGCACCACTGGAGGGCAGGGGACTACCTCTCCGCCTCCCTGTGCTACCAGTCGCTTTAAAGGGCCTTTTTTTCTCCGTAATAGAGGGGGGTAGTTTTGAAGGATCCGCATCACCCTTGCCTTCCGACTGTTCCATCTTACGTTTGCGTCCGCGTAGTCGCTTCTGTGGGCTCCTGTCAGCTTCGAGATTGGACTTGGATAGACCAGGAATTACATTTTCACTAGGTACTGGCTGCTCCGCGCTGCAGAGTCCCGTTGGCTTAATTTCCTCCATCAAATCCTCTCCCACCTCTGACGGCTCTTTCGGAAGGATTGGAGGTAGGTTATCGTTGCTGGAAGATGCTGGAGGACTTCGAAGTGGAAGGGGTGATTTCAGACTTGGTGGTTGAGGGCTACCCTCGGGTACCTATTGGTAGAAAATGCCAAACAAAAGTGTTGGCGCGACTTGAGAGCATAATAGTATAACAGTTTCATACTTCACTCGTAGATGCACTTCAGTGCAAATAGAGAATTGAAACTGAAAATATCTCGCATATACACAAGCATACACACAAAAGATGCACTTTACTGTAATTTGCGCATTTCAATATGGAATTCAGTTGAATATAGCCGCAATCATGTGACTACCACTTCACCACTGTATCGAGCATTGATCAGAAGTGGGGAGACGAGAACCACAAGTTGATCGAACCTTACGAGCTGGTACAAAGTGCGTGTCAACAACGGTCTAGCCTCCAAATCAGCAGTTAGCATTGAGCTTGCGATATGAACGATAAAAAATGCGGGTCATGCTAAGCACCCATTACAGTCACAAACTAAAATTACTAATGCTTAAAATCAAGCTTGATTTGGGATCATTTGAGTCATCAAAGGGTTCGTGCTTATGACTTGATAACACGAGTAAAGGAGGTAGGAAACGCCACGCTTTACTAACCTGTTCCAAACGAGGAGAAAATGCGGCAGCCTGCGGAGAGCTAACAACAGAGCTCGCTGACTGAGAAGTAAGAGGAGGTAAAATGTGGGATGGAGGCAGACTCGAAGTGTTGGCGCAGGGTTGGAAGGGTGGGATCCTCAACTGGGGTGACTTGACACGAAGTGGACTCGTGTTCAAAGCCTGGCTAACCGCCGGACCCTCCTCCCTCTCCACTAGCGCTGGTGACACAGGTTTGGGCTTATTAACTGTTTGGCAGCGACTTTCAATGGGAGAAGAAACGTGAGGCGGCGGTTCCATCGAGAGACAGACTTGCAGGCTGTTAATTGATGTAGGTGGTAGTGGCGGCTGTTGTGGTTGAGGTGGAAGAGATAAAGAGTGGGAAGAAACCTCGTTGGTAGGACCAACGGATATCACGTTTGGGGGACACTGAGTGTTAACAAAACGCTCCAGAGCGGCTGGTTCATACATCGGGTTTTGGGAATACGGTGACTTAACAACGGGTCCACTACCACGTGGCTTTGGGGGACGTTTAGCCACCGTTTTTGGCAGCTGTTGACGAGGAGTATTTGGTGAAATCCTGGACTGCTGAGCATATGGATTCATTGGTTCGCCATTGATGGACAGTGAGTGCGTTGGAGGTTGTTGTTGTTGGGGTGGTGGTGAGAGACCAGTATAAGCGTTTGGTGGCATTCCGCTGTGGCAATATGGCCCCGGTGCGACTTGGTAGGGATTGACGGCAGAATCCTGATATGACTGGTGTGTAGACGAGCCACCTACCGGAGCCATATGACCTGAAGGGTAATTGGTGACGGACATTCTACTACTGCTACCGCTGGAATGGAATGTAGATTGAGGTGTGTAGTGGTCGGATTGGTACTGTGGTGGCTGCTGACTTTCGGCCCAACTGGCACTCATTGAAGACTGGCCAGAAGCCGATCTCGGCGCCACCTGAGAATTAGCACTTGGTTGAGAAGATATTGGCACAGTCACGTAGTTTTCCGGGTATTTGCCTCTCTGAGGATAAATAGGGTGGTTGAAATAATACGGATCCACATTGTACTGGCCATTGTAGTAGGAGCCAGGAGACACATTTGAAGGTGTCGAGTAATGTCCAGAATTAGGGTCCTGGAAGGCTTGATATGGACGTTGCTGTGGGACTTGACTGCCTGCGTAGACATCCTTTGTAGGGTCTTCGACAGTTAGCTCTTGCAGAAAGCTCGAGCCAGAAGCATTAAATCCACTATATGAATGGCTGTCCATGGAATATTCGTGCAACAAAGTAGACACTGAACGTTGTGAGCTGATGAGGTTTTTAAAAAGCTCACAAAGACTTGCAAATAAAAAAATCGTCCAAAATTCAACAATAATATCAATTACGCATAACGGGCAAGATTGGTGAGTAGCCCTGTACAAAAATGCATACAATAGAAGGAGCGCGCCATCTTACTTCTAGGAAAAAAGCGGCGTAACTTCTATCGCAACTAAAAACGTTAAGGGTAATATCCAAAAATATTTGCAAAGAAAGTACTGTTATAAAACCTTACCTCTCTCCCCCCTTTTAACATTTGCTTTTTACTTACAGACGCGAAAATTATGATTGTTAATACAGTCGTTGTACTAGAGGCACCTAATTTTGGTTGTAAAAAAGAAATTAAGTTTAATAATTTGCTTTAGGGACCAATTTTATATTATGTGGAATCATTACTGGGGTGCAATTTTGATATTATGTTTTTAATCTTGACTGTGCATACAGCACTAAGTTTTGAAATTAGTCATCACAAGAATTTTGCAGCAAACGCATTTTTTCAATCTTGTATTTGAAACGCTTTGTAAGATATTCCATTTTCCACTCTCCTCTGTCTAGCTTCTTATCAGTCAGGACTACTTATAAAAAGCGTGCTTAATTTTGGAGGATTATTCAAAACCACTAACAATTTTTAATAAGGAATACAAAATAGGACTTTGGCCTTTTGTTTGGTTATTGTTTAGTCGGACTACTCGTCTGTATTCAGTGTCTTGCTGCTGCTGTCAGATTCAAAATCCTTTAGTAGGAGAAGTGGGGCTTTTGGGTATTCTTCTTCGTGTGGTATGAAAAAGCCGATATGCCAGTCTACTAGAAACACGTAGTCATAAATGGTGTAAAACTGAAAGGCATTTTAAGACAAATTGGTCTCGTGTACTCTCAAGGGATTTTAGTCTAGAAAGTAGTCTTTTGAAAAGGAGTGCTGGGAGTTGATCATTGTGCAGAACTGTGATGGCATTGCCAAAGCAGATTAGTTTTTGCGCTTCCACGGCTGAATTTAGCGGTATGTGTCGGGATGGAGTGGGAATTAGGGGTCTTCGGAACAGTGTGAGTGGGATCCCTTCTCGGTCGCCACAACTCCTCCAGGGTCGGGAGAACACATTAGTTACTTATTTCCCCTGGAGTCTTACCCTGTATTAAATTTTGTTTTGGTTTGGGTTTACAAACTTCTCCAGTACCGTGTGTTTTCTTATTCGTCGTGACTGCGAACCTCGCAAATTCACACCCGTGAATGTACGCATATTCCAGTAGAAACTGCTCCTAGTTTTTTGAGGCTGGCGAACAATGAAGCATTTGCTCACTTAGTTAGATCAATGGTATGGCTGACAGGTCTGTCGCATTTACTTCTACATCTGTTCACGCATACCTCGTCGCAGAAAACCAAGGGAACGGACCCAAAATTTTCTGACGATAGATATCAGGCCGAAATCGCTTTTGGGTGACCGAAAGTGAAGGATCCTTAATCCTTCTATGTTTTTAAGAGGAAATAGTCTCCCCTTCCCCCCCCCCCCCCAAAAGACTTCTCGTGATGCAAAATTTGTAAAGTATTTTCTTTTTTGGTTCTTAAACAAGAAGTTTTAAACTAAAATACAAGCCTGATTCAATAGTTCAATTTCCTAAAGTCCTTAATTACCAGAGTTTCTTAGTGTAAATTCAGAAAGTGAAAATAATCATTTTAATGTTTTTCCCGGTCAAAATGCACAGAGGAATCGCCCTTTTCCATAGCTCTCGCCATCCATCATAGCACTCAGATTTGGTCTGGTCCAACCTCAAAAGGCAGATTGAATCTCGTGTTAATCTTGATGTACTTTTTTTCTCCCGCCAACAAGTTTTTTGCCCACATTATTGCCTCATACTTTGTTCCAATGCTTTTGGAGCTGTAAAGATGGACCGTACGAGCCCACATAATCCCTAAATTGACTGATTCGATTCAGCACCAGTTGGTATCTTCCATTCCAAAACCCCATGTATTTTATGCCAATTTCTGGCAAAAGCAGTCTTAAAATGACCTTTAACGATGGTCAAACTTGTGAAGGAAGCCTTAAATTATCTGGCATGCGGTATAACAAAGCAAACGCATGTTTTTAAACTTCTTTGGATAAACTGAATTAAAAAGAGCAATTTGCGTACCTTCGTCGACTCTGATCCTAGTGTTGCATCTCCTCCTCTTCTATTCATCTTTAATCCATCTCCAGTTTTCCTGTTCTAAAAGTACTAGTTGATTACCCATATGCACACAAAAATCTCCTAAGTTTTTTTTGATCTGTTGAAAATTTGTGAGCAGTTGTTTTCATAAAACCCCGTAAAGCCTCTACACGAAGTCACGGGAATAAAACGTCAGCCTTTTTACAGCAACATAAGAAGTCACTCTGGCATGAAACCTCTTGGCGCCTCCTGAAGTTCTGAGGTAAAACAGGCGAAGTAATCTGCCCCATTTTTAGACATGAGTGACAATGCCATCGTGCTCCCATTCAATGCAAATGCACGCCCTATCGACAAAGCTGCCGCTTTTGTAGCAGCTCCAAATTGGATAGCACTTTTTTTTCTTTTTGGCTTTGTAGATGTCTCTCGCATGTCGACGATTCGAGTGGACAAATTTTCTCACAACATAGAATGGGAAAATAATCGCCTTTTGTAACAAGGTCTAGATCAGTAGAAGGAGGGTACCATGATGCTGGACGTTTTATAGATGGTTTGTTCTTTCAAAAGTGATTTCAGAGGGCTATGCAACCAAATTAACCTTTCAGATTGTTTGATGAGATACAGTGAGCAAATGCGTAGCAAAAATTTGCTGTATGAAGCTATCTCCCACAAAAGAACGGCTAAACCATCCCAGCGCACATAATCTGACGCCTGTTTAGTCACCCAGTGTTCACTAGTCTTAGTAGGTGTTAAAGCTTCTTTACGGACGTGTCATTCCCATCGGTTAATTTGGAAGTTTGTTCCCGACAGGTTCAATGACCAGAATCGGGAAGGCTTTCCAAGTGTGGAAGGCTGTGAAGTGGCTGCTGAGCCCCCACGGATGTGATCGTGCAGATCGAGGCAGACATTCATCTGAGTGCCTTTAAAATTTCCCATTATTTGAGTGCCTTACCGTCGAGAGACCCAGAGTCCTGGCATCATACCCTTCTGTTCTCAAAGTCTTCCATAAATGCTTGTGGCTAATCGCTAGTTCAAGGTTCAATGTCTTCATTGACAAGCCTTGGCTATGCAGCGTACGTTTCATGCATACAAGGATATGCCATTACTGCCATCGGTCACAGTCTTCGAACGGGACTGGACTGGATCGACCGAAGCACGGCAGGTGCATCGGCCGACCCTAAATATCCGTCCTGGGTAGATATCTAGCTAGAACAATACAAAACCTGCCAGTTTTAAACCTCTACAATTCCTGTTTGTTCATTAGACACGGTCCCATGCTGCCAATTGTGCGGTCGTTTAACAAGTAACTGAATGGTTGGCGTTATTTGGTTCGATGGTCCCACCATTGGTGTCATCATGCCATCTTAGCAACACGCTTCATTTGTGGACCAAAGGTCGTTTCCTCGTATTCTTCTTATGTACCCTCCCCCACTCCCAACCTGTTTGATCTCTCCCGCTGAGCCCTATTGACAATGCTTAATGAAGACTTGTTGAAACACAAGCATACCTGTTTGTCCACGTCTCTCTCTCTCTCTCTCTGACTTATGCGCCGCCTTCCACTGTAGTACTTCGAGCGGTCCCCTGTTGCTCACTCTGCGCCGCGGTAGGTGATACAATCACTCATGGCGGTGAGTTGACAGAGCAAACAAATGTTAATAATCAGTGCTAAATATTTACTCATCATACTGCCTAGCCTCATGTCATACATTTTTTTAAACTTTCTACTTAAACCAGTAGCTCAGTCATTGCAGTGATCCAAAATACTGTCAAACCAAAAAGGGTGAATATACTGGTTAATTACACAAACCTGGAAGCAAACCAACCGAAATATTGTCACTATCTAGAAAACAACCCATTTCATAGTTGAACCTCTTAGCATCACGCATTAAGGGGATCTTTAAAAAACACCATGAGCTCTTAGCTTTTCTATTCCCGACTTGAGTTAGTTTTCCTTGTAAGACTGAAGACCATTACCAAGTTTCTAATTTTTCATCAGTAGAAACGGTACAATAAAGACTGCAAAATTATATATTGTACAATTTCATGTACACCTATGTACAAGTGAGGAAAGCAAAATTAGAGGAAAATGCACATTGCTTTTTCATTTGCCCTTTGTATTACTAAAGGTGTTCCAGCTCTCATCACTGTTGCCTTTGAATCACTAAATGATAAAGTGGGAGGCTATGTTAGTCGCTAATATTCCTTTTACTATCATATTATTAGTAGGCTAACAACTTATAGCTTACCTGACTAGATGGAAGGCTCCAGTTGTGCCAGAGGAAAGTGTAAATGAGCATATCTTCAGCGAAGAGATTCATTTTCAATTGAGCAAAGATGTCACAATAATTCGGTAGATTCAGTCCATCTGGTAGTGCACTCGATACCACCCTTTGCGTACTTCTAGGTAGCGGTTTCAACCGAAGTTGTGTGTTGAAAGACGCCAAGGGTATTGCGAGGTAATGCCGAGCTAAGCGACTCAACAGAGGGTACGTCGTCTGTCTTTCGCTCCACCATTGAAAAGGATCTGTCTGTACACCACTTTTTACCTCCTCACGCAAATATCGATCTACTTCACAATGTGCTGTGTGCACAAACACCTCATCCTTATCCCTTAATCGACTCAACTCCTCGACCTATGTTTTTGACAAAAAAAAAAGTTTGATCAAAGGTCGAAGTGGTAACTCGAGTATTACAAAGGGTGTGTGCTCACTTTTTCCTTCAAAAGATTAACAGATTGTGGTGCAAATTCGTGAACTCGTGTTCGCACTCGTGGGTCGGTCAAACCAGCAATCAGTAAGAGATCAGATAGTGAGTTCGGTTTGCGTGGGTAGAATACATCCAAACGTTCATTTACCGCGGTTTTAAAGGCCTCGATTACCTCAGAATCCTCGGAAGTCGTCGCAAGGTGCGTCTTTCGGAGGTTAATCAGAATTTGAGTGATTAGAGAGACCGTAGCACATGATGCCGCTTGTTGCTTGACGTCGTCAAAGCTCCTTCCGAGGTTCTGAAAGGGTAATAGAAAGGGGGAAGACTTTTACAACATCACGCATGTAGGTAGGAAAGTAAGCCGATTTTGCCCACTGTCACCTCTCTCTTTCTCTCCCTTCTTGATCGGCAAGCGCATTGATAATAAATAAGTCTCACCGCAAACTGCGATGTGTATGTATGCGCGTGTGTGCGGCGTTCCCTGCTAAATAATTCACACACCACAAGGTGGCGCTAAACGCGAGGCAAAACTCGATTGCAAGTAGCTGCTGCCACACCAGCAGCGCTGAGTGGAGGAGAGTAGGAAGGAGAAAAGGGGAGAGGGGGAGAGAGAGAGAGGGATGTATCCACTGCGCGCTGTGTGAGCCTTCGTTACGCGAGAGCGCCGACCCGACTCACGGCCACATGTGTGTATGTGTTCACACCATGTAAATAATTCACACCCTCACACACACACACACCCACACACGTCCTCGATGATATTGGCTGCCAACAGAAGAGGGGAGGAGAAGGGGTAAGCAAAGCTTTGGACAGCTAACTCTCTTCTCCCTCTCCTCTTCTCACGAAAAGCCAAAATTTCTTCGCTTCTTCACCCTCCGATGCACAGGGGATTTGTGGTGCAAAGGGAAGGGAGTATATGGAAGAAGTTATCTCCTTTTCCAAACGTGTGTGTTCTCTAATGCTGCTATTTTGTTGGGCAAAATTGAGACTGGTCAACTTACATCGAGAAGGCACTTGAGTTGCCACACATCACCATTCTGTCGCTCCGCGCGGACTCGAACCATTAAATCCGCCACTTCACGCCACGAAATGGTCTCCACGGTTGTGATATTGGTGAAATTTGGGGGCAATCCTGTAGCTTCTCTCATATCCCGCAGTAAGGCGATAACCTCCGGTGCTCGAAATCCACTCTGTAAGGAGGAAGAATTCGGAGTTTTGATACAACCATCCAGACTCACAATTGGTGTTTCTTTCTAACGGAAGGAGGTAGAGCAGGCGAACGAAAAGGTGGACTGGCAGTGGCCATTGCCCCCGCCTATTCAACCCCCTAACTAGAACTCAAGTCGTCAAAACTGCGGTTGCCGAATTTCCTACCTCGAAGTTCTGCTCGTTCTGCTTTTTCGATACCACTGGTATAGACGACACGACAGAAGTGCTCCAACCGACCATCACAGTTGGTTCAAGGCGCCAATATATTGGCTATAGCGACAGCATTCTCACTAGCCCCACCGGTCAATGCGCTATCAACAGCGGCTCAAATGGAGCCCATTTTCGTGACCTCGTCTGCGAACATCATCATCATCATCGCCTCCTCCAGAGGTTGTGGAGGCTTATAGCTTCTCGAGTCTACACATCACGACCTCCCTCGCCACCTCTACCTTGTCCAAGGCTGTCATCGGATTTTCCGTCTACAGCTTCCGCCATCCCCTCCAACATCACGACCTCCTTTTGCTAACCAATTCAAAAATACACTTTCATAGAGTCTGTAAGCACCACCTCATAGGCTCTGGACACGACTACTTCAAAAATCACTAGCAGTAAAACAGGTAGGCAAGGACTTTAAATGAGCTAACTCACCGTAACAGACGCAGCGAGGGCTGTAACAAAGCAAGGCACAATAGTGAAGTCTCCAGACATAATTTCATGTAACTCCTCGGGTCGATTTGTCACCAGAGCTCTGGGCAACAACATCGCAGTCTTTTCACTTGATCCAACACAATCCACAATAATTTTCTTTACATCTGCTGGGCACTTCAATAATGCCGTTTGTAGTAGACGTCCTTCACAACCTATACTGAGGTTGGCAAAATTCTGACGTCCGTCCATATTGTGCCAGAATTCGACTGCCAGACTGCTTCGACTCAGTGTCTGTTGTTGTGTTGGAAGGACCGTATTTGCAATTTGTGGTAGTATTTCCATTCTCATTTGTCTTGCAGTGATTCGAGGAATTGATAAAGCCTTCGTCGAGCCAATCAACTCATTCACAAGGGTCTGTGTGAGAGACGAAGAAGGAAGGTGGAGAATTAAGGTCTAGTTCTCCTCAGTGTAGAGTTCGTCTTTGACAGAGTGCATATACGCACAAGCACAGACGTACCTTACCGTTAATTTTGCCTGACGTAACTACTACCACTGCTACTGTTACTTCTGCTGCTAATTTGGCGACAAAGGGAAGCCAGGGGAAGACGAAAAATTGGCTACTGGCTGGCTAGCTGCTGCTGCCAGGCTTCTTGTTCCCCTCCTTATCAGATCGCTGCTCAGGCGCCTAGCCTACGAGAGGCGAGGCTACTAAGGGTGGTGGCTAAGTAGGTATGTAGGTAGGTAGGCAGGTAGAGACGAGATCTCGAATTTGATAAGCCTGCACGAGTCTTCTGCTTGCAGTAATCAACAAGTGCTAGCAGTGTTTGATGTCACCCTTCCATTCACCCTCCCCGCTACCTCCTCTCCCCTCCACCCCTCTGCTCTGCGTTTCATTAAGCAGCTGATTAGGCGATGGAGCCTGGTAGCTAACTAGCTGCCTGAGGGAGTAGATGATTATAGCTTGATTGCCCA